GAGAGGTGTTCCCAGGAAAGGGCTGGTGGTGCCAGCTTCTGCCCCCTCGGTTGCTGGGGAGGGAGAGATGGACTGATGGCTGGGCTTGGGTACGTCCCTCCCTGTGTGGGTTCCTTGGTCAATCTGGGGTCAGCTTGAGGCTGACCTCGGAGGAGGCCACCTGTCCTCTTGGTTTTGACAAAGATGCCCGGAGACTTCGTGCCCACCCATGTCTCCTCACCCTGGAGGCTGAGGAGGCTCAGACTGCGGTCGAGGGTGTGCTATCCCTGTGGATGTGGACACCGAGGCTGGGGGCGGGCGGGGAGGCTGAGGCCCCTGTGGGTGCCCTGTATGCAAACTTTGTCTCTGGGGATGAAGTAGTGAAGTGCTTGGGGCTGGATGCGTGGTTTCACTTGTCTGATGAGCCGTGCCTGGGCGTTGCGGGGAGGAGGATGCTCGCTGCTGGGTGTGGATGGGGTCTGCTCATGCTGCAGGGTGGACCTGTGCCCGTGTCACACCGGGCACTGCGCAGGTGCAGGGGACAAGCAGGGATGGCCTAGAGGCCCCTGCCCCCAAGAGCTGATGTCGGGGAGGCAAGGAGTGAGGAGGGCGGCAAGGGGAGCTGGGGGATGGCCGGGAGCAGCAGAGCGAGTGCCGCTGGGCAGAGGGTGCTGCAGGGGTGAAGTGCGGAGACCAGAAGAGCTGGCGTGGGGCTGAGGGGACCTGTCCTGGACTTGGAGCAGGGACGGCCCCTGAACGTCTTCAGGGGGGATCACGGTGTTGCCATGGGAGCCCCAGTGACCAGTTGTCCTGGAGTGAGCCTGCCCCCACAGCCCCAGGCTGCCACTCCTCAGAGGGGAAGCTGAGGCTGGAGTGGGCCCCCCAGTCTAGGGGGGTCTAATCAGACCTGCCGCCACGGTCTGAGGGTGGAGCATCTTTCTCCTGTGGAGCTGGTAGGTCTGGTAGGGCCAAGCGCCAGTCTCGGGGTGGTGCAGTGCCTGGTGGGTCTGAGGTATCAGACAGCCCGTGGGGAGGTGGACTGGGCCTCAAGGCAGTGCAGGGTTGAGAGGTGTCAGTGTTTCTAATGAACTCGAGCGTGAACCCTGGAGCAGCCGTCTCTGCAGGCGGAGCCCTGGGTCAGGAGACCCCCACGCTGTCCCAGCCCCAGGCCCGGGCCGACCCTCCCTCCCTGGTCGCCCAACCCAGCCAGAGCTCCGTTCTTAGTGTGGGTGCCAGGGCCTCTGGGAGAGGAAGGCCTGGGAGCACCTGGGACATCAGGACTCTGTGAGCCCTCTGGGGACGGTGGTGAAGAGCTGGGCCGTTCCTGGATTCGGAGGCAGGAGAACCACGGGGAATGAGGCAGCTAAGGCCTGGGGAGGCGAGGGTGGAGATTTGGTGACAGGAACCCACCAGGCTGTTCGCATGGGAAGAAATAGAATGGGGGAGCTGGTCCTGCAGGATGGGCAGGTGGGGCCCAGGCCAGCAGGTGTAGGGCAGGCGAGCTGTGCTGGGCCGGCCGGCGACCTCGGGTGTGGGGCAGGCGATGCAGAGCCAGGCCTCTGGGGGGGCCATGCACACCCAGGGAGGGCAGGGCCTGTCCAGGCACACATCACAGAGCCAGCTCCCAGGACAGCCAACAGGAAGCATGATTGGACCTGGCCAAGCGGGCCACACGTTCTTGGGAAAGAGCTTGGGAGTCCTGCACGGATTCGCTTCCTGCGCTGCCCCAACCAAGCTGCGCACACAGGTTGGAAACAGCTGAGGTCGACTTTCCCTCGTCCTGCAGAGCCCAGGTGTCAGCAGGACGCCCGCGCTCCGGGGCTCTGCGGAGGACCCTCCTTGTTAGTCCAGTGTGTGGGGGAGGTGATGGCCGCCTGTGCTGTCCTCGGGCTGAGGCCACGTCATTTGGGTGTCACTCAGTATTTAGATGGCCTTCTCCAGCCGTGCGGTGCTCTCTTCTGGTCTCTCCCTGCCATACTAGGCTTGGAACCCAGACCCTATTTTTTATTTTGAGACAGGGTCGCTCAGTTGCCCAGACTGGGCTCAAACTTACGATCCTCCTGCCCCAACCCCGCAGAGTCCTGGGATCACACCGTGTGCCACCACGCCCCAGCACCCTCTGTCAGTACCTTTAGGACCCACTTGCAGGGGCTGGGGATTTAGCTCAGTGGCAAAAGCGCCTGCCTGGCAAGCGCAAGGTCGTGAGTTCGGTTCCCGGTACCGGAGAAAAACCAAAAAAAGGACCCACTTGCTTAGTCCAGGATGAGAGGCTTAACGTGACCACAGCCAAAGGTCATGTTTACAGACCAGGGCTTAGGACACGGCCATGTCTTTTAGAGGTCTGCCCTTCATGCTGCTGTACCTGGTGGCTCTCATCAGGGCCCTGCCGCCCAAACCACCCCGCCCTGTGCCCAGGACCAAGTTTCCAGGCCCTGCAGAAGCCCTTCCTCGTCACACAGTGTGGGGCGCTGGTCAGGCCCAGCTGCAGGGCGGACCTGAGCCCCCTGGACAGAGCCGCTGCGTTCGTCCTGTTCCAAGAGAGAGCTTGAGCTTTTCCCAGTGGGCGCCCTCAGCCTCTCCGGCTCAGAGCCCCCCTGAGCCTGGAAGATCCCCAGCCCGAACGCCTCGTGCCCAGGTGCTCCTGCAGGTAGCCAGCAGTGTCAGGCGGGCTGTGGGGGTCCTGATGCCAGGCAGTCAATTTTGGTTCTAGGCTACCCTTCTCTGGTGGGAAGGGAGCGCCTTCCTCTCTGACCCTCCTGGAGTGCAGGTGACAGCTGGACCAGCTATGAGTGGGGCTGAGGCAGGGGCTGTGCAGCCCGTGGTGCCAGGGCAGGCCTACAATGCCCACTGCAGACAGCACCTCTGGGCTGGGTGTGCCACGCACCAGGCAGGCTGGGTCCCCGTCCCACAGCGAAGGCTCTCGCTCCCCTTGCAGGCTGACCCTTGGGCCCGGCCCGGTAAGTGCTCCGTCCCTGAGCTCAGTGGAGTATGGGGCTGGCAGCTGAGTCTGGCAGCCCAGGCAGGGGAGGATGGAGGAGGACACAGGCTGCCCAGTGCTGGTGACCTCAGCTGCACCCCAGCCGTACATATCTCCTTGCTGGGATATTGGGGGCTCATCACCATGGTTACCGGAGCAGTGTGAAGGTCACGGAGTCACCACCATGAGGGGCTCCTGAATGTTCTCTGTGTTCAGGAACAGGAATGGCAGTGTCCTTTTGGTGCAGGGGGTGGGCAGGGCACAGGGAGAAACTGAGGCTCAGAGCCAAGGGGCCTGCAGAGGTCACATCAGCCCCAGGCCCCCAAAAGCTGTGGTTGGAGAAGCCCAGCTGGGGGCCCTGCACAGCCATTCCTCTCCTCTGCGCTGTGACCGCTCCTTGTCCCAGGCTGTCCCTGAGGTGGGACCTGGCTCCTGCCAGCTCCACCCGTGCCTGTGTGTGTATGTGGGCCCTGGTGGGATGGGCGGGCCTCGGCCTCGTGCACACCCCCGTGTGCGGGCAGAGGGCACATCCCCGGGCTGGCTGCCTGGTGGGCTTCTGGTAGTCCTGCCCCAGGCCCCCAGCTCCGGCTGTCTCCTGCAGCTCACCCCAGGCCGGTCCCTAGTGATCGCCACCCCCCGTGTTTGGCAAACTCTCCCCTCCACCCACCCTGGACCGCTCTCCTGGCCCAGCACGCACGGGGCTCGCATCCTTGCCGGAGCCTGCACCCCCTCTCCATCTGGGAGCTGCCCCAGGCGCCCCCCGTACCCCTGCTGTGCAGTCAGGGGCTCCGTACCTGCCCTTAGCCCTGCTGTGCTCTCCCCTCCACAGGGGAAGAGGCCCCAGGTGAGCCCCCGTGGTGCCAGCTGTCTGTCTATCTTGTGTGCCCAGCTTTATGCTGAAGGCGTGGCCTGCCACTGAGCACCCCCGAACATTGAGACTGGCACAAGGCTGGGGGGTGCAGCACCAGTGCCCACCCCAAGAAGGCCCCACATACCCGGCTCAGGCTCCCCAGCCTCTAGGAAGCAGCATAGGTCTGCAGCCCAAACAGGCCTCTTGGCAGCAGGGCTGGGGCAGGGAGCCAGCATGGACACCCAGGCCTGTGGTTGGGTGCTCCAATAGCCAGCAACGGGAGAGGCCTGCAGGGCCATCAGGGCAGGCACCACAGGCAGAGGTGGAGTTGGCATGGGCCGGCCAGGGACCCTGGTGGACCAGGAAAACCCTGCAGTGCCCAGGGCCTGTGGTGCATGGCCTGTCACCCTCAACCCCCCTTTTCCCAGCTGCCTCCTCCGTAGGGTGCTGTCTTTGAGGGGACAGGTGCTTGGGAAGGGAGGTGGGCTGGGCTGCAGTCCCGGTCCCTGGCTTCCCGGTGGGGCCTGGCTGGGGAAAGGAGCTGGGCTTGAGGGACTCAAGGGGGGCCAAGCTCTGCGTGGGACCCAGAGCAAGGGCCTGGGGTGATGCTTTGCTGCCAAGGCCACAGTGTGCTTTCCAGCAAGCCAGGCGGTCGCAGGGCTGGCAAGGGGCAGGGACACACAGAGGGCTGGGGGTGGCAGCGTGTGCCCACGCTCTCTTGGGGTCAGAGGGCACTGAGACGGCCACTTTGGGAACCACAGGTCCCCAGTGCAGGAGGCTCGGCTGTCTGTGTGGCTCAGGGCAGAGCGGGCAGCCACCTCCGCAGGGGAAGGAGTGTGCTGGGGAGGGAGGGACCCCCTGGTGTGCGGGCAGGAGTGAGCCCCCTGGGTGTCAGCAGTGGTTCTGTGCTGGGCCCCACCATCGGCCCTAGGGAGATTTGTGGTTGGCTGGTGTAAAGCTAAGCGTGCAGAGGTGACCAGAGGACCCCAGCAGGGAGCTTCCTGGGGGTGGGGGCAGCTGGCCTTGGCGCCCCCAGCCAGTGCTGTGGGGGTCGGGAGCAGAGGCGAGGGCCCAAAGCCCGCAGGCTAAGCACCCTGGGAGGGGGCAGCCCTTAGCCCCAGCTGGCTTCCGGGCCCTCTGGTGTGGAAGGGAGGAAATGCTGCTCCTCGGGCAGCTGGGGAGCTACTAACAGGAAGTCCCACTGAGGAGGAAGCCCTGGTGGCGAAGGCCACAGATGCCCCAGGACTGAGCTCAGCAGCACACGCTCGCAGGCGGCCCTGTGGGTGGCCAGGCCCCCGCCGCCCTGCTTGGAGATGCCTGCTGCAGGCCGTCCCCACGGCCCCTGAGCCACATGGCCTCCCTGGGCCCCAGAAGTTCAGCCCCCATCAGGGTCTCGGGCCGGAGAGCCATGTGCTGGATCAGCACCATCAGGTCAGTGAGGCGGCTTGGGTCAGGGCTCAGAAGGCGCTGGCTGGCCACCTGCAGGACTGCAGGAAGGGGCGGCGGCTGCAGGGCTCCTGGGACCGGGCCCAGGCCGGGGCAAGGCGACAGGCTGTGGGGAGAGGGGCTGCTGCGGGGCTCGAGAGCGGGCACAGAGCTGTGGGTCCAGCGAGGGTGTGCCCAGGCCGCTGAGCCGCCCGCCCGTGCCCTGCCGGGGTGGCCTCGGGGTCCGGGTACTGTGTGTGCCTGTCCCGTGAGTCCCTCGGTGTGTGCATCTGTGCTGGGGACAGAGGGAGCCAGATGAAGTCCCCAGGCCCACACAGAAGTGCTGTGCTCAGGGACCTGCCACAGACAGACCTCCCAGGCATCAGGGGACCCGCCGGCTGGGGGCTGTCCTCGTGAAATGCAGGCTGGCCACCCTCCCCTGGCCCCAGTGGGAACTCTCTCCTGGCTTATTGCTGGGCTTCTCTTATTTTCCTGTACTGGCGTCTTTGCACTGAGCTTCATCTCCTTGTCTCCTTTTTATTTTGAGACAAGTTCTTATGAAGTCATTAAGTTGCCCAGGATGGGCTTAAATTTGAGACCTTCCTGTTTCAGCCTCCCAGAGTGGTGGGATTACAAGTGTATGCCACCATGTCCAGTGTCACTAGGCCTTTCTAGATTTTAGTTTTGATTCTCTCACAGAGACCAGTTCTGGGAAGAGAAAGGAGGGGAGAGAAGAGAAGGGGAGGGCTGTGAGGTGGCGTAGGGGGTGGCTGCAAGGCCATGTGGGGGACACCTGGCCTGCTCATCCACAGCACCCTACCACTGTGTGCCGGGAGGGGAAGTGGTAGGCTGGGCAGGGGCGGGGGTGACAGGTGCGTCACCAGCTACTGGATGTCTAGCTTGGGGCTGCTCAGCTTCTCCAGCCCGTGGGGACCTCAGCAGCGGGGTGGGGATAGGTAGTTGTTCGGGGCACTGAGCTGGGGGGTCCTGAAGAGCCCAGGGGTGGGAGAGCACCAGGAGCCAGGTCCCACACCTGCCCACCCAGGTCCTAGTGTGAAACACAGGTGAATCCCAAGCTGGGCCAGAGGTCCAGGGGGAGCGTACTGGGGACCACACACACAGCCTTGCTGCCTGTGGGGCCCGGGCGGTGAGTGTGAGTGTGTGGGTGAGGGGGTGAATCCGTGTGCCTGCCTGTGTACACCCGTGTGCACAGGTGCGAGTGTGTGCAAATGACCACATGTGCAAGTAGGTGCATGGGTGTGGGTACTCGTGAGCGTGCCAAGTACCCACATGTGAGCGTGTGAGTGTGTGAGGGGTGCGGTGAGACTGTCTGACCATGGGTGTATATGAATGTGTGTGAGTGCACGAGTGCCCAGGGCACCTGACTGCTCCCTCGAGGCTGGAGCCCCCAGCCTGACCTCAACCTGTGCTGTGCACACAGCCCTGGCTCGGTCCCTGGGGCCTGAGCCCCTGACGCTGTGGTCACCAGGGCTCTGGCTCCCCACCACAGCCAGGGCCGTGCCGGCAGGTGTCAGAGAGGGTGTGGAGCCCGCCTGCCTCCTCACACACGTCTGTGGGTCTTGTGGGTACATGGTGCAGTGGAGACCACTGTCCCCGCCAGGCTCAGGGGCCCAAGGTGCGGAAGCCACACAGCCCGCAGGTGGTGGGGCCAGCAAGGCTGTGTCTGAGGGCCGGGGTCACCCGAGCCAACAGCATGGCCTCTGGGAGATGGTGGTGGGGAGGTGGGCACAGGTCCCAGGCATGCTGCCTCCCCTGGTGCCCACACACACGCACACACACACACACACAGGCACACAGGCCCTGCACATCCATACCTGTGGACACACCCAGGTCACTTGCATCTTGGAATAGCTCATGGGACCCACCATCCCAGCCCCAGCCACCCCAACACTGGCCCTGCCCGGGCTGTGCCTCCCCAGCCCCCAGCCTCACTGCACAGCAGGTCAGGGAGTCCTGACCTCACTGCCAGCAGCTGGGATGCTCAGCCCCCTCCTACGCGAGGCGCAGTCTTGTGGGGTGTCCGGACTCTCGGAAGTGGGCTCTGTGATGCCATCTACACCGCAGGAGGCAGGACTCGGTCTCCACCGCTCTCCCTGCCAGTCCCCACCCGTGGTAGAGAGTATCAGCCCTGCGGGGGACTGGGCCACCCAGCAAGCTGGCAGGAAGGCCTGCAGGGGTTCCCAGGATGAATGAGTGGAACTGAGCCACCAGGTACCTGGGCTGGGGGCCCTGGCGCTGTGGGGAGACAGCAGGGCGGCTGGCAGTCAGCGCCCCGAGGTTCCTGCAGCCTTCCCAGCGGCACTGCGCAGCTGACGTCTGCGAGATGGGGAGTTGCACGGTCACTGTGGCCGGGGCTGCCCTCACCTCCGTGCCACTTCCTCTTTCCACTGCAGCCTGGCCTGGCACTGGGCTCTGGGCAGGCCCCACTCTGGCTCACGCACTGCTGTGAGACACCCAGGCGGGGCTCCCCCAGATGACCATCCGCAGGACAGGGCGGTGACATCCGGCTGTCCACCAGAGGGACATTCCCAGGGAACCAGGTCCTGTCTCCCCTCCCCCACCTCCACCCAGGATGAGGCAGGGCCCATGGAGGGAGGTGGTTGCACCGCGTGCATGTATGTGCGGGGACGCGGGACATGGGAGCTGCGGGTGCTGCCTGGGAGAGGGGCTGCCTCAACTGATGCCTGCTTTCCTCTCCACAGACGCAGTCAGCCTTTCTGTGAGGAGCTCGTTTCCTCTCCCTTCCCCACACATTTATTAGTTCTAATAATTTTTTAGTGGATTCTGTGGAATTTTCTCTACATAAAGTCATCTAAGGTCGATGTGGGTACACCTACAATGCCAGCACTCTGGGAGGCTGAGGCAGGGCGATTACAAGTTCAAATCCAACCTGGGCAACTGACTTATTTAAAAGTCTGTGGATGTAGCTCAGTGCAGAGACCCTAGGTTCAACCCCCGGCCCTGTAAACAAAAACAAAAACCCAGATCTGCGAATACTTTCTTTCCTTATCCCATCCTTCTTTCCTTTCCAGTCCAGATGCTTTCTTTTTCCTGCCTGGTTATGTGGCCGGAGCCTCCAGGGCAGGGCTGAGTGAGAGCAGACTCCCTGGCCTCCTCCCTGTGTGGGAGAAAGCGCCCTGTCCTGCGCTGCGCTGGGTCAGCTGGGACGGTCACACGTGCCCCTCACGGGTGAGGAAGTTCTCTCCTGGGCTGTTGCGTGCTGCTCTTATGAAAGATCGTGGGATTTGGTCAGAGGCTTTCTCTGCACCTCTTGGGAGGTTCATGTGGGTTTTGTTCATTATTTTATCCATGCGGTGGATGGCATTACTTGAATTTGAATATTAAACTCTAGGGGCTGGGGATTTAGCTCAGCGGCAAAAGCGCCTGCCTGGCAAGCGCAAGGTCGTGAGTTCGGTTCCCGGTACCGGAGAAAAACCAAAAACACTAAAAATAAAAATGAATATTAAACTCACCTTGAGTTGCTGGGATTAAAGACATGGAGAGGGTCAGGGATATAGCTCAGTGGTACAAGCGCCTGCCTGGCAAGCACAAGGTCCTGAGTTTGATTCCTGGTATCAAAAATAAATAAATAAATAAAGACACGGAGAATCCTTTCTCTGCGTTGCTAGATTCAGGGCTAGACCTCTGTTGAGGATGTTTGTGTGTCTGTACCCGTGTGCCCAGTAGTAACGACTGCTGTCCTCAGGGGATATTAGTGCGCGTGCCTAATGCTAGGGAAAGCTAAGGGACAAGCTCAACAGGACAGGTACATTTCAGAACAAACTGCGAGGGACCACCTGACCCTCAGACCAGACCGGGCTCCTGAGTACAGGCGGCAGGCCGGGTCTTCACAGGGTCGCAAGCACAAGGGGCGCTGTGAGGTGAAAGGCAGGGTGGGACGGCGAGGGGAGAGTGCAGTGCAAAGCGGTTGTGGCTCCCCCGGGACAGGCTTGAGAAGAGACAGGGAGCGGTGGCTGCCCGTGGGGAGCGGGCTGAGGGTGACGGAGTCCCGGCCGTAGTGTGGTCGCCGGCCTCATTAACTCTGATTTCGCATCTTCAGCAGGGTAAAGGCACAGCGTGGTGCTTAAAGTGGCCTCTAGTAGGCTTAGGACAGTGGTGGTCAGCCTCCTTCCCATAGCATGTTTATTCATGGTTATGTCCCCTTTCCCCTCCTCCCGCGTCCCTCCCACCATCTCTATCCCCTTCCTGTTTGAGAGAGACCTATCTCCCTGTGTCCTGTTGTCTAACTTTTGCTTTGCTCTTTGCTTGTACTTTGGGTTTCTCGTAGAAGAGCAGCCATGTGATATTTGTGCTTGTGTGTGACTTAGTTCACGTAACATATTCTCAAGGTGCACCCATTTTCCCACAAAAGACTCATTTATCCTTCGTTGTGGCAGAGCCATGCTCCGTGGTATGTAAACACCACAATTTCTGCTGGGCGTGGTGGCACACGCCTGTAATCCCAGCACTTGGGAGGCTGAGGCAGGAGGATCGATATGAGTTCAAGACCAGCCTGGGCTACAGAGTGAGCTCAAGGCCAGACTGAACTGCATAGCGAGACCCTGTCTCAAAAAGACAAAAAAACAAAAACAAAAAAACACCACACTTTCTTTATCCGCCCATCTGCCAACGGGCACAGGCCCTTCCCAGTTTAGCTGTTACGAGCAGTGCTCTATACACGGGGGTGTGCATGGGTCACCAACGTAAGAAATGAGGCTCCGATTTTCCTTTCTTGCTCTGTCTTCCTGGTTTGGGGTGGGGTGGTGTTGGTCTTGGGGCAGGGGTCCCCTCTTCTGTTCCCTGGAAGACTTTGTCAGGGGCTGGAGTTGCAGTGGGGTCGCTGAAATCAGTGGAGTGAGGCGGGGGTTTCAGAGCCGCGAGGAGTCCAGGGCTGAGGCAGGAGGGCCTGGTGTGAGGAGGCTGGGAGGCTGGAGGGGAGGTCCCATGGGGGCGGTGCCGGGGACAGGCAGGGTGGCCCCGGGGGAGCAGCCTGGAGGGCTGCAGAGGTGCCAGGCGGTGAAAGCGGGTGCGCGGGACACAGTGGCTTCAGAGCCTGGGAGTGGGGAGACTGCAGACGCCCAGGCGGGTGCGGTGGGGGAGGCCCCCGTGTGGACAGCCAGGCAGGACCGCGTGGGGCGCCTGCCGCCCTCCACCGGGGCCCGCCCTGGTGGCAGCCTGTGTGCTGGGGAGGGAGGGAGGAGGGGGAGGCTGGGAGCCAGCTGGGGATGCCTGTGCCCAGTGGCCCCGGGGCTGCCGAGGCCCAGACCGCGACTCCTTGGAGGGCTGGGGTGACACTGGCAAGGTGGCGCGTGCCGGGGTCGGTGCATACTGAGCCTGGGGAGCGCGGGGCCGCAGAGAGCTAGGTCATTCCGGCTTCTGGGCAGCACCCCTGGTCTGGGGTGCAGCTGGGGTGCCCCAGTGGCATCGGTGACCCCTTGACTCCTAGCTGCTCTCATAGACGCGGGCTTGCCGTCTCTCAGAGGGGGCGGGAACCGAGGCCGGAGCGGCGGCGGCGGTGACGCGGTGGGCGGGCCCCTCACCTGCCTACAAGAGGAGGAGCCTCGGCGGGACGCGGCGGCGGCATGGCGGGAGCAGGGTCCCGGCCGCGGAGCTGGGCCTGCCGCGAGAGGGGCGAGGCGGCCGCTGGGGGTCTGGGGCCCGCGCCGTGTCGCTGCTCGATGCGGACGAGAGCGCTCGCCGCTGCCTGGAAGCCGTCGCCTGCCACACGGACGCCGTGAGTACAGAGCCTGACCCCGGTCGCTGGAGGGGGACCCCAGCTTGGGCCCCTGGGTTCCCAGCCTGCACCGCCAAACCTGAGCCCGGATCCCTGAGCCCAGGCCCCACACCCGCAAGTCCCCAGGGCCGGCTGCAAGCCGCAGCATCGCGCCCTGGTACCCCAGGCACGGCCCCCAAGCGCGGCTGTGGGAACAAAGGCGGGCGTGGGCCTGGGTCTGGGGGTCTGGGCCAGGCAGGGCTGTGTGGCCAGCGCAGACCCCAGCGGGCTGGGCAGGGCTCCCCCCCATCCTGGCCGGGCAGGGCACGGGGATGCGGCTGTGCCTCTGACCCAAACCTCAGCTGGTGTTGGGGACCCCGCCCCCCTGGGTCCCTGCCTAAGGGGACTTTGTGCGTGGAGGGAGCCGGAAGGGACCCCAGCGCAGGATGACCGCGGCGCAGCCTTCCGTCTTGGGGCAGCCCGCCCTGTGCACGCCGGTGTAGGGAGCATTTCTGCTCCAGGCATCGGGCTGGAGCTGGAGCCAGAGCTGCCAGAACCCGGCTCCCCTGAGCCTTCAGGTCCACCCCGCTGCGCCACCGCAGGGACGTCGGCTGCAGGCCTCCCCACTCCGGGGCCAGGACCGGCGCAGTAGGGGGGACCCCAGATGTGACTGGAAGTTGGGGCGCCTCACAGGAGAGGGGACACGTACTCAGGGAGTTCTGCATGCGGGCAGGGGCGGAGACCGAGGCAAAAGTCGGGGTAGGAAGCCGCAGGCTGTTCCAGAGGAGCAGCCCGAGTGGAGGAGGGGCTGGGGTGGGGGTGGGGGGCCCTGCACCTCTCTAATGGCTGCTCTTGCTTGTGACCCCAGCCCCAGCACCTCCAGGAAGCGCTCCTGGGTTCCTGTCTGGGGCAGGCTGCCTTGCCGAGCCACCTGGCATTGGACTTGGACCCCAAGAGTCCCCCTTTCCGGGAATGGCACAAGGCCTGACCCGCCACACGGGGGCTTCATTTGTCACTGAACCCCAACGCTCGTGGGGCCGTGCGTCCAACGGACCCGTGATGATAAAGTGACAAAGGGGCAGGAGTGTCTGAGGGAGCCAGGCCTGCCTGCTAGACAGTGTCCCTGTGGGGTCTCTCCCGTGTCATTCTATTCAGGGTGTCAGGTCCCCAGAATGAGGTGCCCGTGGATGAAAAGAAAATAAGAGAGGCAAGAAAAATGAGAGAGAAAAAAAGAGGAAAAACAAGAGAGGCAAAGCCTGGGATCCGGCTTACAGCCTCTCGGACTGCGGTCCCGATTACCAATCTCAGTTACCTGTGATTGAGCCTGAACCAAGGGCGTAGCTAGTACAAATGGGCTGATACCAAATGTTTTTTGGAAGGGATAAATAAAGGATTACCCTTCTCCACATGTAATCCAAGACACGCCTGTAATCCCAGCACTCAAGAGGCTGAGACAGGGGGATCCTAAACTCAAGGCTAATCTGGGCTGTATAGTGAAGCCTTATTTTAAGAAACTCTAACAAGTAATAAACAAATCATTGTGTCCTCCATGCATTCTAATCAAAGAATGTCCTTTTCCTCGCTCCAGAAAGGCGGTCCCTCGCCTCATTGCTGTGACCCGGCTGGAGCGTGGCAGTGCCCCAGGTGTCCCCAGCTGAGCCACCAGTCTGTCCCCACCTGGCTGAGCCGTGTGCTTTCTCTCTCACTGCAGCTTCATGGCGGCTGAGGAGCTGCACTGGCCGGTCCCCATGAAGGCCATCGGTGCCCAGAACCTGCTGACCATGCCTGGGGGTGTGGCCAAGGCTGGCTACCTGCACAAGAAGGGGGGCACCCAGCTGCAGCTGCTGAAATGTGAGTCCCGGGGTACGGGCACCGCTAGGCTGGGGCGTGGGGCCCTGACCCTCACCCCCCTGTGCCGTGGCCCCTCGGGCAGGCGCTCACCTCTGCTTCCTCCCAGGGTGGCCCTTGGTTTCCCTTGCTTCTCTGGAGGGTGGCACCCAGGGCTGTGACGGGGCCTAGGGTGGCGCGGCTCGACCTGGGCTAGGATTGCATTAGATCTGGCACCGGTGCTGCCCTGGCCTGACCTGAGTGTGGCTAGTGAGTGGGTTGGTCACTCGGTACCTGGGGAAGTCACGTGCCAAGTCAGGAGCCCTCGGGGTGTGAGCACAGCGGGCGAGAGGGAGGGTACCTGTGGCACGGGGCACCGGGGCCTTGTCCACCCTTGAGGTGGCTACAGTGTGCCGCCTGGGACTCCCTGGCCTTGCACGGCCTGGTTGAGGTGCCCAGGCTGCCCTGCGTCTGTGTGGGCACTGATTAGACAGGGGGCAGAGAGGGCTGCTTGGGGCCGGGCATCCTTGGTGCGACCACCTGGCTGGGGGCGGCGTCACTGCTGCCTGCCCTGGCTCTGCCAGCCTGCGTGGAGAGGGCCCGGTAGCCCTCCAGCACCGGTGCCCGGCCTGGCTCGGCCCTCCTCACGATGACCCCAAGAGTCCCCCTTCCCTGGGATGGCCAGACCTGCCTTGGGGTGCCGTGGGGTGGCCAGCATGCCTGTCGTGTGTCCCCTTTGGAGCCCCGGGAGGCCCCACGGTCTGCAGGGCTCGGGGGTCCTCACTCAGCCCGCTGTGCCCGCCGTCCGCAGGGCCGCTGCGCTTCGTCATCATCCACAAGCGCTGCATCTACTACTTCAAGAGCAGCACGTCCGCCTCCCCGCAGGGCGCCTTCTCGCTCAACGGCTACAACCGGTGAGTGGCCGTGCAGCCGCGTGGCAGCGCCACCCTGTACCCACCCAGGGTTGTCTCAGCTTCCCTGATGCCTCTGTCCCTGTGCCCCCTTGCCCGGCTTCTGTGACGGCCTCACCTCCTGCCCCCGTGCCAGGCCGGCTCACTTGTCGCCCAGTGACTTGTGCGGCCCTGCTCTCGCCAGCCTGTTCCCCACAGCCTCTCTCCAGGGAGCTCAGAGCCCAGCCCAGGCCCTGCCCAGTCTCCCCGGCTCCAGGTCCTCCCTGCCCATGGGCCGGGGCTGGGCTCCATCCAGCGAGTGGCCCTCAAGGGCTTCCAGACCAAGGGGCCGGCCAGCCCTGGGCCAGAGCCCCCAGGGTGAGGGGCAGCTGGCACTGTGAGCCTTGCCCTGTGCAGCAGGCTTCCTTGCCCTGCAGCATGGGCCCGCTGCCTCCCTCCTCCCAGGAAGGGCCCAGCCCCTCCACCTGTGAGGGCCAAGGGGGCAAGGCATCAGCGCAGCCTGGGCCTGGTGCTCACTCTAGCAGTTACCGCTTGAGGCTCTGGCTTCCATGCCGGCCACCCTAGCAGTGTCACCTTGCCAAAGAAGCCAGCCCAGTGCAGGCCACTGGTCTTGCCCTGGGGCGCTGGCCCAGGCAGGGAAGGGTTTTGAGGGCCCTGTGGACAACAGATTGGCATCGGCTGACTGCTTCTCTGGGGTTCCCTGTGGGGTCATTCTCACCCTGGACACCCCGCCTCGGGCCTGTACCAGCCCGTGTGAACTCTGGGCCCAGCAGCAGAAGCGGCAGTAGCAGGGACTGCCCAGATCGGCCCCGCCCCGCCCACCGCAGTGCTAGGGATGGGCTGTGAGGCTGTCCCTGTGAGTGGAGACCAGGAGGTGACCCTGTGCCTTTAGGGTGATGCGGGCAGCGGAGGAGACGACGTCCAACAACGTCTTCCCCTTCAAGATCATCCACATCAGCAAGAAGCACCGCACGTGGTTCTTCTCCGCCTCCTCAGAGGACGAGCGCAAGGTGAGCCGGGCAGGGCGGCCTCAGGCACCCGCTTGCCCTGGGTCTGACGTCGCTCAGATGCCGCCAGGGAAGGGCTCCGTGGGTGAGGGGCGGGCATGGCCTGGGAGGGTGAGGCCAGGCCAGAGCCATGCCGCCTTGTTGGACCCAGAAGGTCAGGCCGTGACCTTGGTGGTCAGGGCAAAGCAGCTGGGATGGGGCGGGAGGAGGGGGCAGGAGGTCCTGCCCTGGCAGCACTGTGCCTGCTTCATGCCATGTGTGCCCCCTGCACCCCGGCTGACCCACAGAGCTGGATGGCCTTGCTGCGCCGGGAGATCGGCCACTTCCACGAGAAGAAGGAGCTACCTCCGGACACCAGGTGGGCGGGGTGTGTGGGGCTGGTGGCCGTCCCCGTGGTCCCGCACCCAACGTGCGCTTCTCCCCAGACCCGGGACGCAGCCCAGAATCCCCCGTGAAGGGCTGTTCTGGGGGTGCCAGGCAGGGTCCTTGCGTATGGGAGTGTGTGCCGTACGTGGGAGCCCGCACGCGTGCGTGAGCACTGCCTGTGCAAACCTGCTTGGCTCAGCTCGCGTGTGTGCGAGCCTGGGTGTGCCGGCCTGCTCTCGGCCGCCCGCCTGTCTCTGTCCCCTGGTTCCTCTGGACCTTCCCACATGGGGGTCACTGAGTTTCTAGCCCCCACCCGTGAGCCCCGCCTTGACAGCAGCTCGGGGCGTTGGGGTCCCCAGCGTCACGGCTCAGTCGAGGCCTCAGCAGCCTCATCTGTGAGATGACCCAGAGCCTTGGGGGTGTTGGGGAGTAGGGAACTGTCCCCCCTTTCCTAGTTGGGAAACTGAGGCCCGGTGTGCACACGCGCATGCACACACACACAGACACAGACTCATCTCCCCCCAGGCTGGTGACCTGGGGCGGCTCAGAGTCGACTGAGACATCTGGGCAGGGGCAGGGGACACGAGGGCTCAGTCCTGAGGTCCCTGGCCAGGTGGGGTGGCCCCCAGCCTGCGGCCCCAGTTAGCCTGTGACTCCGTGTGTGTCCGGGTCCGTGTGTTGCTGATCTGCGTGTGAGCCTGTGTGGGAGTCTGCATGCCTGTGTGACCTCGTGCCCGTCTGTGCACGTCTGTGAGTGTGAGTGTGTGTCTGTGGGAGCGTCCCTGCGTGTGAGTGCCGAGGCCC